CTTACAACTGGAATGGAACTATAAAATAAGTCCTACAATGGTACTTAAGAGAGGTAAGTAAGACTACTTATTTCAAATAAGAGGGGTGGGGGGTTTACATACAATCGAGGCAAAGTGGTTTATGATCGAATCTCAAAGGCATTCTTATGATTTGGTAGATCCAAATCCATGGCCTATTTCAAGTTCAATCGAGGAGGCACCGAACACATAGATGAGTCGGTCCCAGGAATGAAAGTCCATTCCCTCGTGCTCTGGAACTCGATTGAATTTCGAAAAACAAGTGGAAGAAAGGCTTACCCAACTTAATGATCTAAAGACTTTTGCATCCCCACGCATGCAGTACTCCTCTTTGTACTGTATGCAATAGGACAAAGGCAAAGGGATAATCCTCCTCCTGTGCTTTCCTCTTCTTTCCTTGCTGTTCACAAGGGCACTGTCAGGATTCATGCTTCAAGAGATAGAGATCGATAGTGCAATTAAGCCTAAGAAATCCTTTCAAGATCTTCGTCGGAGCGGCAATAATTAAGCTCAACAACTTAACATATACATCTAGCTATTGCATGTGTGGGAGGTGCAAAAAATCAGTAAACAAGGACATGGATTGAAAGAGTCAATAAAAAAACAAATATTTTGTATGGATTTAAGCTACTGAAAACTTAGGGGAGTCGAGTAGGCTGTAAAAAGAAGATATTGAATCTATCTACAGAAACTAGAGGGAACATGATGATAGAGAGATGAACAAGTGCTTTTCACCAAGAAATTAATGAGGAAAAAAACACGTCAATTAATATTTAGCTACATATCACTAATCTACAGCTGGACCACTTGATACTTCACAATTAGTAGCTTTTGGCAAATTGCCCTTTAGTCAGCTGGAAAATGAAAAGGAATAACCATTTCAATTTGTTGGAGTACCATTACAAGTTCACAGGTTAATTTCTGAGAGTGGCATATGCAGCAAAATCCAATAACTAATACTGATGCAAAGAAAAATATGTTCCTTCACTTACCTTGATTTTGTTATCATCTGCTCCAGTGGCCAAAAACTGTGAATCTGGCGAATACGCAATGGAGTTTACATCAAAATAATGCCCCTGCTGCTTCAATATATAACTCTCAGATTTCCACTCCCAAACAAGCAGCTGCCCAAGCTTTGCACACCCGAACGTCAGCCAATTTCCAAGGTCATTAAACACCACAGTTGAAATCTTCTCTCTCGAAATTGACAACAAGTGGATGCACACAAAATCAGGCATCTGATAGAGCCCGAAGACACCATTCGAAAATCCCACAACCACCATATCAAGCCCCCTATGATAATCACATGCAATTAATTTTGCCGGTGCTTGCATGAAAAAATCCTTTTTCAACAATTCCCATTTCATTTTATGCAATGAAAACATATCTAATTCATCTAAATTATCATTTTTCCCATCATAATCCTTCCTCTTCAATAAATTACCTCCATTTT